AGGGGTTAAAAAAATATGTTGCCCCGCAGACCAGGGGCACGTGAGGATGGGTAGCTTCCCTGTTTAACAAGGCGTCAGATTGTGTTCAGCACTGATTCGATAAGGCCAGACCGCAGGCTACAGGGCGCACACAGCAATGTGTGTGTGCTTAGCCTATACAAGAGTTTCACGTGTTTTGGTATTTCGGTATGAAGATTGATTTCGAGCAGCTTTCTCAACTTGTGAGTTCATTGTGTCAGCACAGGCGCTTGTTGCGCAATTGTTTTGCTAGTTGGTCTGGTCGGGGTTGGGGGGGCAGGGCAGTCACAAGCAGTACGAAAGCTAGACACGCAGCAAGATGAACAGAGCCAGCGCTCCCCACTTCCCCTCCAAGAATTCCGCTGGTCTGCATGCTGGAGATGCAGGGCAGAGAGTTGTGACGTAAGGAGAGTCCACTACCAGTCAATGACGCACCGAGCTTGGCTTCCAACAGTGGTGGTGGACGTCAATGATGCTGGCGTGCCTCAGCACAAGAGCAAAGGCCCTACACAGCCGACAACCAACTTGTTTTTTCTCTTTTCCCTGGTCCTTTGACATGATTTGTCTCTGAGAAGCTAGGCCAGCTAGGCCCTTTTTACATGCTTGTTTCGACGAGTCTCCAGGATGTGGAGATTGAGATCAAGCCGAGAGTCTGGATCGCACCAGCTGACCAGGTCAACCTCTTGAGACCACAGGCAGCCTGAGTTCTGTATTGTTGATGGGGGATGCTTTGAATCAGGCTTGACTGCTCCGTGAGCTTTGTCGGATCCTGCTGTCAAAGCCCTGCCAGGCCTAGCTATTTTCTACTTTGAGTTCCGTGCATGGGCAGTTTTCCACACGGAATTACTTCGGCTTTGAGACCCAACAGCCCGAGCTTGCAATGCCCAAACTCTAAGCTCTGAGGCCCCCCGAACTATGAAGAACAACATGCATCTAAAGGATTCACGATCATGCGTGCTGAATATCCCGTCACATCATCACGCCTAGTATATACAAAAGGGGCCGTGGTCGCAAAAGTCGGATGCGTGTTTCTTCAAAACGAGGAGCAGGCACCCTTCAAACAAGTCAAAGCTTGTGTTTCCATCACCAGAGCCTAGAGTCAAGGCTCTCATGTGGTCACAATGTGCACTTGGAGGTTTGTTACGATACGTTTTTGGATTGATGGTGCTAAGAGAAGAGCCTTGATTATTGAATCATAGCTTGGCAGCGCGCTGAATGCAAACCCCCCCTTAGAACACAAAAATGTTTGTGCAGTTTGCAACTGCCTTCTCAGTGGGTTTGTGCTGAGTGCGTGAGCTGTCTTTGTGCGGAGAGTCTCGAATACGAGTACCTTCGGCGTGAGACTTGCCTCGAAAAGAGCGCAGAAAAGCCTACACATAGGAAGCGGTGATTTACACACTGGCACTTTCGTGTCGCTAGTAGTAGTTGAGAGGAGAGATTTTCGCCATTCATGCTCAGCTTCATGCAGTGACTAGTGAAGTGGTGCAAGTTTGTACAACACACCCTGTCGATCCTTCACGTCCGCATCCCAAAGCAAAGGCTGCGCAGGCATTTTGCGCTAAACGATGCGTTCGCACCTGGCAAAAAGTTCAAGCATCCACCCACATGTTCGCAACAGATGGTAGTAGCCTCATGCCTACTCCGAACTCTCTGGTGCGATGGCTTGGTTTGAACGTGCCTTCCCCATGAGCCCCATTCGTGGCTCTTGCCTTGCGCAGAGATTATAACATCTTTTAGCCATGAGGACCTCAAGCCCCTGGTTGTGCCTGTTTGTCGTTTCCAGCCACTTTTCTTGAGAGCAGCATGCATCCAACGCTTTGGCCTTCGTTTGGTTCCGGGTGTCTGGCCTCGCGTGAAGCGATTTTGTCTGGAAGAGCATGCAAGCTTTTCGACAGTACATGGATGGATCCCCCTCACAGCTTCAAGCATTCCCACCTTGCAGAAGGTAGCTACAAACACCTGAGGCCCTCGTTTGGGGCGTTGCCTTCACCACACCACGCAGGCAGAGGAAATTCGGCTTGCTCAGCTTTGGGCTCCCAAAGTTCCAGCCAACACATCTCTAAAACGTGGTATCTTAGGTCTCCGAGGAAGCCAAAAGGCCCAAGCCGAATGAACAGCAAAGGAAAGCCAAGCAAACTAAAGGCGGTAGAGCATCATTCAGAAACATTAGCCCTTATCTGCGCTTGCTCTCGCTCTACAACAGAGCCCGTTGTTGTAATAGGCTTCGGATTGACTCGGGGCTCTCAAGACCAACGCAGCTCCGTTGCCTTTCCGAGGTGGGGACAGGGAGGGGCGATCTATTGAAGGGTCGCTGCACGGGCTTTCAGATTTAGAGTCAATGTAGGGAATGGAATGTGATATCAAATGCAGAAATCTTCAGATTGCCTTTGGCCTCCTGTCCTCAACAAGGCAGCAGCGGTGGATGCAGATTGTATGGGAAGGAAGTGTTTGAAGAGGGAGGCTCACCCATCTTGACATGTTGACACTTCTGGGATCTCAAATCAGCATTAGCCTAGAACCATTGATGATGTGACTGTCTTCAGGAGTATGTGCTGACCTTGCCGGAATTTCAGCGGGATACAAGCCATCACCTGCCGATGAGAACGAGCAACATGCAAACATGGAAGCATCCACAATTGCTACAGCGCGAGGCGTTGAAGGTACCGACTTGTGCCCAGCATTTGGGATTCTTGTTGCTGAGATGTTGGATTTGACTTGAGGATGCCATGCCGGATTGGGCCAGATTAATGTGAAGCACCTGAACATGCAGAACAACAACCCGAACAGCTGGAGTAGACTTGCCTCCACGATGCAGTCAGAATAGGCATACGGCATATATCAAGCGGGCAAATCTCAGGCGCAAGGCCAGGAAGTCAAAGGTAGCGTGCCTGAGATTCATAGGTTTTCAGGCCGATATTATGATTTACTGGGGTGCTCGCGTTTAAAGGGCCTTGGTGCTTTGACCAGTCCGACGCCCTTCATGTGCTCGGCATCCAGCCAGATCAGGCGCGCTTGCTGCTTGAAACCCTGGATGTGTCCATGTCACGACTGTTTCAGCATCCTATTGTTGATCGGGCTGAACCAGGGTGTGCTTTGGTGGCTGAGTGCAGCAAACGGATCGCTTCACCTCCATTACTTTTGGATGTGGGGGTCAGTTGTATGACTTGGACTGCAAAATCGTGTAGTCGCAGTCGTGAGTGGTGGAGCTTCGGATAGGGGTCTGATCACGGCGGACCACATCAGGCCTGGTAGGCTGACGACTGATCAGAATTTAGAGTCAACGTGACCTAGTCAAGGGCAGCATGCTTTTTAGTGAATTGCAGTAATAAGAACGCGCAGAGCGCCAAATGCAGAAGCCTCGCTGCATGTTTGTGGTCGGTCTGCGCAATTCGAATGTCATCCGCGAGAGGCGTTCGAAGAGCTCAACGCATAATCTTTGAGAGGCAATTAATGTGCGCTGCCGAGCGAGATTCTTGGGCGATAGCGCAGGCAGACTTCGCCAACGTGCGCAGAGCTTTCCGATCCAAGGCTTGGGATTGTTTTTCATTCGAGTTTCCGATGGCATTGGGATTCGCTCAAGGTTTGAGCAGGTTTCTTGGGCAACATCGGGGTTTGCAACTCCCAAGAAGGCGATCGGCAGCGGCCTGAAATAGAGATGTTTTCGTGACGCCGTGTCCGCGCATTTGGGTAAAGGGAGAGCGGGAGCACCATAGCGCTCTGAACACACTTGCACAAGTCCACCATGACGCCATCACCTCATATACTGCATCAGCCTGGAAGTTGTCATGCAGGCAAAGCTGTCACACCCAGACGCTGGGGGAAGCAAAGAGGCCAACAGAAAGTGCCAGATAGCGGCAGCCGTGTGCATTGCTTGGGCGAGACGGGCTTTCGTGGAGCTTTCGTTAGACTGGCTTCGGGTGGAGCTTTCGTTAGACTGGCTTCGGGTTGTTCGAGGGAGCCTTGCGTGCTGTTTGCTAGGTGTGTTTCTTCACTGAGGAGTTGCCGTGCAGTACAGGATATGTTTGTCCAATGCGCTTGCACTAGTCCTCTTGCCATGACATGGATGTTGAAGAAGAGGCCATCTCTTCCCAACTTGATGAAGTTGATGTGGAAACCACGCCAAGCCCGAACCCAAAACAGCACGTAGGGTTCGTAGCTCTCGTTTTGATTCGCACCCTTACGCGGGTTTCGGGTTTAAGGTCCATGCCAAACAATTTACTTTGTGTTTGTTACTCTGATGCCCCTGATGTTTCCGAGACATTGACAATTTGGATGTGAGTTCCGTCCAGGACTTCCAGCGGCTTCGAGGCGCTTACGCGCTTCTGGGCTTTGAAGTACTTAAGAGGCTCCCAATTAAGTGAAACTAGTAGGCATACAAACTGATGTACAGATATCGATGGCTCACTCTAGAGATTTTCACGCGTGGTGCCTGTGGATCATCTTCAGGAGATTCTAGGCAGAAAGATAGCACGCTCCTAGGATTTGCAGATGTGTTAGAGCTTCGGTGGGGTTTCAGAATTCGAGCCTGGACTTGGCATTTTCAACGCGTAGTTCTGTTCCGTGCCGTCGGGTTGTTGCTGGCTCAAGGCCTGGGCGGCTCTCAGACAAGTGCACCTGGTAAGACCATTAGTTTGAGGCTCTTGCGGAAAGCTCTTCTTCGCGGAGGACTGCGAGAAGCAGGCAGAAAAATATGCAGAATGCATGAGCTTTTGATGATTGTTCCCTTCAGGGACTGAGCTGGGTTGAGGTAGATGGGTTTGACGGTGATTTTCGTGGTGTCCCGCAAGCATTCGCAAGCTTTCAATAGGATGTGATGTTGCTGGGGTCTCTGAACTAGGACGTAGGTTTGAAGGACTGTGCCCGGCTGTGCAGAAGATGATCGGAGACAAGCTGAAGCCCGTTGGGAGCAGTGGGAAAGCCAGGCCCAGCGCTTTTTTGAATCTGTGGGCTAGTGTCGCTGGAGTGTTTTGCTTGCAGTTGCTTCGTATTGAGCCTTCTTGGTGTTTTACTTCTTGTGTTTTCTGGTGGCATCTTTCTGCACATGCGCAAGCGCTTTGCCTGACCCACTGCGCTTTTGGCTTCGTACAAGCTCTATTCCTGACATAGTGCAAATGTCTAAGCATGAAGCTGCCAAACGTGGATTCGTAGTTCGGGCTGAGGGAGGTCACATTGGAGGCCAGCTCAAGCCCTGTTGCAATTGGCTCTGCTAGAGATAGTGCCAGTGCAACTGCACAAGCGCCAGACCCTGCTGTAGATGCGACTGAGTTCAGCATATGTAGCAGGGAGATCCTTGCATCATGCCGTCACCACAAATGCTAATCGTGATGTATCACGTCTCCCCCAACAACTAGCTTTCAGGTTTACAGGGGCTTTATCTCCCGGTGGATCATAGCTCCAAAGTTCAAAGCTGACAGTGATCGCGACATGTTGTGGTGCGCAAGCCGCAAGGGAATTGTGGTTTTGGAGTTTTGGTTCAATGTCTGTCTCGTATGAAGCGGTGGGTGCTCGCTAGGTGTTGTGATGCAACAAAAGATCGAGCATCTTCCTTATTTTGCTCCAACATCTCCGTAGCAGGCAGATGATGTCAATAGAAGTTTTACTAGTAGCTGCAGTGGAATTCTTGAAAGATGCATTGCGGAGAGCCTTGCTAAAGCTTTACCTCAAGCGTCAATTTGTGTTGCTATGCAGCGGAATTGCTAGTTGAAGCTTTAGTAGACGCTTGCCTGGAAGCTTTCGAAGGAAGTGGCTTCAAAAAATGATTTCTAGAACTTTTTAAGTATGAGAGTTATCTCGGGCTTGGCTACCAGCAAGCTGTGAGGAGCTCTAATCGAAGTTTGATAAAAGCTAAGTGGCAGCTTTTCTAGAAGCTCTTTCAGATGCTGTGGTAGATCGGTTGCCAAAGGCCTTCCTTAAAACTTCAATAAAACCTTCAATAATCTCCTCCGGATGTCAAACACGCCCGCACATTCAACATGCTTTAGAAGACGCCAAAAGGGGGGATTGCGTACTCATCTTTATCCAATAATGTTTTTTTGTTATTTCCTCACATTCATTGTGGGGTTCTAATTATTAAGTGTGTCGCCCGGCACCCGCAGCGTGCTCTCCGTCGCGCAACATTTTGGACGCGCTCATGTTGACTTAAAAATCGCGCTCTCGCTCGAGACATCCTCAAAAAATCGACTTTTTTTTTCAAATGAAATTTAAAAGATAGGAGACATCGCCTTTAAAGTAGTCTTGCAAGGGGGGGTCGGTGTGAAGCGGACGACCACCCTAATTTTCAAAAATCGCGTTTTCGCTCGAGACATCGTCAAAATTTTGCCTTTTTTTTGAGTTTATAAATTATTCACGCGCGAGACAATTTGATTTTTTTGAGCTTCTGAACATCTTCGTTTTTTCTAAAATCGCGTTCTCGCTCGAGACATCCTCGAAAAATGAACGTTTTTATATCATGATGGATCCAACAGAGAGGCGAGATTGCCTTTAAAATAGTCTTGCTAGGGGGGGGGGGTCGGTGCGAACTGGACGACCACCGATTTTCAAAAAATTGCGCTCCCGCGGGAGACAACTCGAATTTTTTTGACGTGTTGATCATTTTCGTATCTTCAACAATCGCGCTCTCGCTCGAGACATCTTCAAAATTTCGTCGATTTATCTTCTCAAGAGGGAGGTTCTTGGGGGAGCGTTTTGCTATAGGATTGGTATAGGATTCGTCGGATTCATCGTTCAAATTTTGATCGTTTAAGGAACGATTTCTATACTAATTCTATGCCAAACTGCTTCGCTCAAGGTCGTCCTCTTTTAGCCAGAATCGCGCTCCCGTGGGGATCATCTTGAATAATTTGAAGAAAATCGCGCTCCCGTGCAGAGCATCCTGAAAATTCTGATTAAAATCGCGTTCCCGTGCGGAGCATCCTGAAAATTTGGGTTAAAATCGCGCTCCCGTGCGGAGCATCCTGAAAATTTTGATGAACATGGCACTCCTGTGCGGAGCATCCTGAAAACTTTGGTTGAAATCGCGCTCCCCTGCGGAGCATCCTCAAAAATTCGTCGTTATTTCTCTCAAAATCGCGCTCCCGTGCGGAGCATCCTGAAAATTTTGAAGAAAATCGCGCTCCCGTGCGAAGCATCCTCGAAATTTCACTGACTCTTCGTTCAAAATCGCGCTCCCGTGCGGAGCGTCCTGAAAATTTCGAAAAATTTCGCGCTCCTGTGCGGAGCATCCGGAATATCCTTGGACGTCTGCTCGGTGCTTGAGAAGATCTGAGCGATTCTTGACGAGATGCGGGCGGTGCTGGATGAGATCCGGGTTGCGAGCTTGGTTGTTTTCGCTTTGTTGTTGCGATTTTGCGAAGTAGGCCCAGACCGTGGTGCATTGTATCTGCCTGGAGGCATTGCCCGAAGCGCATCGAGTGGAGCACAAGCACTGTATGTTTCTGCATTGTATGGGCCATGTTTTTTTTTGGATTTGGACTCACCGTGGCTCGCTAGTTTTTGGCTCAAGCAGTGTTGTCAGATTCACGTCTTGTGTTTCATTCCGTGAACGTTTCGTGCTCGACATTGTTCCCAGATGGTGGACACTGCGTCGGCTCTGTGTGATGCTTGCCGGGGAGATGCATTTCATCATCTCGCTAAGGATAGGAAGATGCGCAAGCGCGTGTCCGTGTTGTCCGGGGGAGATCTTGACCACTATTTGCTTCTGTATGCCTGCTCAGGAAAGTGTCTGCCGTGCGTGCAATTTTGGGTGGGCAGAGGCGCTGACTTGAATCAAGGCACCGAGCATCATTCAGATTGGACTCCGTTGGAGTGGGCCTTGTGGTCGGATGCAGGTTCCGAGATCATTGCCTTGGTGACACCTCCAGTGTCTCCGAGTCGCGAGCCGGCTGCTTTTTGCAAGCTGGCTTTGGCGGATATGTATGTGCACGTTGAGAGGTTCCAGCAAAAGAGGCGGTATTATGGTAGGTTGTCTCGAGCGGCGTCATCGCAGACTCTTCGTGGCTGCAGTGATGGATTCGTGCCAGCGCTTTGTTCAGGCCTGGTTGGATCGGGGCGCGGATGAACCCTCTGGCTCTGATACTGATTCTGATGGCTGTATATTGGAATGCGCGCGAGCCGTCGGGGTGAGTGATGATGTCCTGGAGCTCTTGCGGCCAGCTGGTACGAAGCGTTGTCGTTCTCCGTTGTCTGAGCAGGAGTTGCAGGTTGGGACAGGGACTGCGGAGACTGTGCCGTGCGCGCCGTCGGCGTCCGGACGTTCGATGATTTCTGGCTTCGTCATGCACGCGGGGGGCAAGACGTGCACAGCTCTTATTATTTGGCCGGCACGTGCTTGTCTGGAGATGTTCGTCGGGTTCGAGAGTTGTTGGACTGGAACAACGCTTCCGTGTCTATACTTCGACCGGATGTCCGCGGTGCTCATCTTTTGGATGTGTTGGAGGACTTACTTTGCGGGAGTTCGTTCAGTTGGCCATGCATCGTGCGGAGCCGCAGTCGCGGCGCATGGCTGGTTTGGGGGAGGTTTTGCGGATTCCCGAAGACCGGGAGATGTGGGAGGCTGAGCAGTTTGCGCGCAGGAGCATGGACAAGCAGGACGAGCAGCTGCGGCGGGCGAGTTTGGTCGGTGTGGGTCACAGCGTTCGTGGTGTTCCTCCTTGGTCCGCTCAGAATCGGTTCGTTTCTGCTGCTCTTCGGGGCTCCGCTGAAGAGGTAGAACGGATGTTGCGAGAGTCTTCGGTGGCAGACGTGAACATTCGGCTGGCTTACCGCATCATCGTGGAGTTGCTCATTGGCCGTTGCGCGCCTTGTTGGCCGCCAGTTTCGAGCTTTCGTCAGATTCCGGCCTCAAGGAAAAGCTGCGGGTCATCCGGCGCATGTTGGTGGAATGGGAGCGGAAGCTTGTGCAACTCTTCCTCCGTGCGGTAGTTATGTTGGGTTCAGGGCAACGTGAAAGGTTGAAGCTGCTGCTTCGGGAGATTCGTTGGTGCAAGGGCACTCAGTTTAATCCACGTGCGATCCTCCAAGGTGTGTGGCAGGTGCGCACGACCCGGGATGGGGAGCTGCGCTGGATCTAGTGTGACTCTCTCCGCCGATTTTCATCAAAAAGGACTTGAATGCCTCATGCTTATGGCGAGCAACGGAAACTCCTGCAGAATCGTTTTCGGCTTGCTGTGAGTGGATAGTGCGTTGTAGTTTCTCCATGGCTCATCTCTGCGGCCTTTGCGATGCTGCAATGCTGCAATTCTGGACTGCTACGCGCGCATTGCCGATGAGATGCTTCGGTGTCTTATTTTTTGTATGGAAGAAGGTGAGCGGGATCACTATCTCTTTGTTCAGGCTGCCTTTGCGACATGTCAGACATGCTTGAATTATTGGCTGCATCATGGTGCCGATTTCAGTCGTGGAACAGCGAGTCAGTCATCCGGATTGGATCGCCTTGGGGTGGGCTCGTGCTTCGAATGCTCGTCCAGAAATCTTGCGATTGCTGACGCCTTCAGTATGGCCTTCCTGCCTTCTGTGGAGCTGGACATGTACGTGCACGTTTCCCGTAGGATGCATAGGAGAGGCGTCAGCCAGATGAGCCCGAGGTCGCGAGA